CAACTCTGCAAAAGCTTTTCATGGATACACTTCTTGTGTGTCTCCAGTGATTGTCTTTATTGGGAAAGAGTTCTTGACAACTGATATGGAAAGTGTCAACTCAGCAGCTCATCCATTTGCAGAGAAGATCCAGGGAAGACTCCCAGGCTTTGTGACTGAAAGAGTTCAAGTGGATAGAGTTCTTGAACTCCATCCTGGAAAGCATCTTCACCAGGATTTACTTGCTAGGCATTCCCCTAGAATTTCTTTTTTGATGGTAGTCCTCTCTGGCCATGCTGCTCAAACCAAAACCTGAAACTCAGGGGTTGTCATGAGAGCTACCTATCCAGTGACATGAATGCTTTCCAAAAAGTTGTTCAAGAAGAGATGAAATGGAATGGCAGCTGCCTATGTGAAGATTCTACCAGAGGAACTCTTTATGTATACTAGATGTGGTTACCAAATTTACAATACACATCAGTACTAGTAGTGTTGAATTTTTAATTTTTGAATCCCACCAGTATTTTTTTTAGTTTTGCACACCCATACCACTGGTATATGAAAAGACTATTGTTGCAAGTGTTAGCAAGCTCACATCAACCTCCAACACATGCCCTATTAACCAGTATTTTTCACATCTGCCTCATAGTAAACAACCACTGGAGAGCATCACACAATATGGGCTGGTCTTTGACACGTACTCCAAGAAGAAATGGCACAAACCACCAGCATTGCCAGGGACTTCCTCTGCCTCTGCTGTTTCCAMCTGTACCATTCAAACTACTTTGAGCTAATATCTATCAAAATCTCCCAGCCCACCCAAAAACCTGGTTGTGCTTCCAAAGACACTCCTTGGAAGGAAGTGCCGCCCCTTGGAACAACCAGAAGCATACTTTGATTCTGAAGCTATGGTTCTGGTCATATTGTGCCCCTTCTAGTTCACGAGGTAAAACATAATATTAAGATTTTTTTTAGTTTTGTGCACACATGCTCTCACTTGATACTACGAGTCTGAATTTTTCATCCCATGAGTTGTTGCATGGTTAAAAGATAGCCCAAAATGGACGCACAGCAGAAAAACACTTAGAAAGTAAGTATCAAATCACTCTAACTGCTATAACTTGGTCCCCAATGGACACTTAAGTATGATTGGCACATGAATTGAATCCCAGGAAGAAGAGGATTATAGTCATGTGGGGGAGTTGGGGGGTCCTAGGTAGTAGTGGAATATATCCATATGCATATAAAAATATAAAGTTAAAAATGTATGATTGGCGAGTCCGGAAACATGATATGGCCTATACCATAAGAACAGGTATGTCTGAACAGGAGTTTTGTGAAAGAATGAAGAGTCACAAAGCAAATTCTTTGTTGAGGACCCCTCTATCTCAGCAAAGGAGACTTTACAAGAGGAGGTATCCAGACAGGAGCATTGCCAAAGAGGTGGAAGGGAGGAAAGGGATGTTCCAAGATATCTACCAGAGAGCTGGGAAAGGTATGGATAGGAACAAGAGGGATGAGATGTTGTCACTGTTTGATTGGTCTGAGGAAGAAGAGAAACAGTTCAGAATGGAACAGCTCATATAATGATAGTTTGTCAAACAGGAAATACAGACACCTACTATGTTTTCTCTTTGAAGCAGTACATGCTATTGCTCTCAAACCAGCAGACAATATCCTCACTCAAAATCCAACTGGTGAATGGGAGATGAAATATTATGGATAATCAGTACAGAACAATACTACTACTATTTTTACTATTGCTAATACATATTTGTACATCACTCAACCAGAATCATCCTTTATGATGTCACTAGAAACCAAGCTGTATATGGTACTAGTTGCAGTAGTAGCAAGTCTCCTGCTACTAGTACTAGTAGTACTACCACTACTAGTAGTAGTACTAGCAGTAGTACTCCTGCTATGACCTGCTTGTCACCATATAGCCGTGGCAATTTAAATAAAAGCTGATTTAATTTTACATTTTTAATGCTCAATATACATACACATACATCTTTCAATAATCAATAACCCCCTATAACCCCCTGGGGTGTATCACTGAATTTGCCTTTTTACTGGCTTTCTATGATTCATGTGCCAATCACTCTGTAGTATCCGTTGGGCACCAAGTTATAGCTGTCAGAGTGAGTTGATGCTTAGTTAACTTTCTGCATGATTTTCTACTGTACATTGATTTTGGGCCCTCCTTTTACTGTGTAATGGCTTGTGGGATTAAAAATTGACTTGTACTAGCAGTGCAGCAGCAATAGTATCATGTGCAGAAGCAAAAATCAGCAGTTGGAGAACTTGTGCACAAAACTTGACTTGGTGGATTAAAAAATTCAGCACATGTCTCACTGTAAACTTAGTACACATTTAGTTTATTTATTCAAAGTAGTCAGTACACCCAAAATAAGGGCCCAAAATCAACGACTGTATCATACATTTGGGGGGACAACATCTATTGTATGGGGTGGGCCAAGCAAAAAAACATGATCCAGTTGTACATTTTGAATCCTATATTTGTACACGTATATCAATATGTTCCACTACTGAGACCCCCCAACTCCCCCATATGGTTAAAAAGCTCATAAAAATGGCTTTTGATTCATGTGCTTACCATACTTAAGAGTCCATTGGGGACAAAGATATAGCAGTTAGCATGAGTTGAACCTCTCTTAATGCTCTACTTGTTTTTCTACTGTGCGTGGATAACCGGCCATCTAATCACMGTGTACTAGGGCTACAGCGTGCATGTGCGAGCAAAACTTTTTTGGTTGCACGATTGTGGGATTCAAAAATTCAGCATGTGCCCGCTGTAAACTGCAGTACAAGCCAATTTTTTAGTCAAAGTAGTCATTACATGCAAAATAAGGGCCCAAAATGTACAATTATATTTTGCATTTGGTAGCCAAGCCTATGATACAATACCAGTGGTTTCAGCATAAAAATTGTATGACCCAAGTACCCACTGAGCACAATATGTTCATTAGGATGTGTGAAGAGAATAAATTGTAAATTGTACCAAAAACTACTAGTTCTTAATCTGATGTTTACTAGTAGTTGTTGTTACTATTTACACCACAATTGAATTTGTACTGTAGACTGTCTGTGCAGCTTATTGGATGCATTTAACATTTACTACCTCTGTTCCTAAATATTGGTGCAGTTTGTACCTCTTGGGTTGGAATAAGCTCAATATTTTGTTGATTGGTATGCTTCTTTTTGCACTAAACAGATGTATTAAACTGTTATACAGTCATGTAGGTTGAATAAAGTCAAYGTGTCTGATGTACTTGCAGTAGCTACTCAAAGGGACCTTTTTTGGCATATCAATGTGATTTTAGCATCAGTTTGGTTCTACTGGTCACTTAAGGGTGGAACCGGTTTATTTAGAAAGCCCAGACTTAAAGCTTAATCATGATATTCTTATCATACTCGTTGAGAATGTTTCATGCGGTGTTTAGTCGGTCACTAGAGGTGCCTAACATTGCTTGGGCACTTATTTGGGTGTGTGCAGTTTTCATGTGGTTTTTTCAATTTTTGAGCTGGAGAACCAATGCAAAGAGAAAAAAGTGCTGTGCGCATGGTGGAAAAATGATCCCTGTGTTATTTTCACATGATAATTTTCACTCTTGATTTCACTACACTTCCCAATTTCCTCTTTTCGACACCTTTCTGTCACACACTTGTTTTGCTCTTTCCATTCAACTGACTAAGACCAACTTCTTTGCACTGGCTTCTTTGCACTGGCTTCTTTGCACTGGCTTCTTTGCACCTCAAGTGACTCATTGACTTGCCTTGCATCCACTAGAGAGGGGGGAAAGAGCGCCTGTTTCCACTCTTAAGGGATCTATCAACTTGGCTTGATTGTAAGCTTGGTATTTGGCCTATTGCGGAGTACAGACCAGCGCAGAGATCCTCTGTAAATTGCCCCAGAGGTACCATTGAACCCCAGCATGTTAATGTCAATGAAGAAGCCTACACCAGGAAGCTCGTGATTGAGAAAGTTCTACCAGCCATTTACAAGAAATTCCCCAGAGGCAACAGTGTTCCAAGTTGCATCATCCAGGAAGACAATGCTAAGCCTTATACACTCAACAACAGAGCAGCTGCAGCAGCTGCAGCTTGAGAGAAGAACAACTGGAATATTGTTGTGAAACCACAACCACCTAATAATAGTCCTGACTTTAATGTTCTTGATTTGGGATTTCTCAATTCTATCCAGAGCCTTCAGCACAAGAAGTGGTTTTTCTAATATGGACACATTGATTGCCAATGTGATTGCTGCATTAGAAGAATCCAAATGTGAGACTCTAAACAATGTTTTTTTTGTCACTACAGTGTGCAATAGAGGCGAGGATTCACTTGGTGTTGGAGGAGACAACACATACAAGATTCAACACCTTGGGAAAGCAAAGTTTGCACATGAAGGGGAGCTTCCTGTATAAATCTCTTGTGACCAAGAAAAGATAGCCTTTGCATGTTCAGTACTGGTGGTGGACTTCAACAATAGTAATACCAATACTACTACTACTATTGCTTATGGTGCTGGTAGTAATCRTGGTATTGGTACTACTACTAATAATAATAGTAATGGTTCTGTTTAATGTGAATGATAAAACTGTACTTGTAGTAGTAATTCTAAAGGGTCATGCATACTGTACCATTATTATGGAAAAATTAGAGTAGGGCAAACTGCACCATTATTTAGGAACGGAGGTAGTAAGGACTAAATTTGTAGTAGTACCGGTACTGGTACGAAGTACAGTACTAAATTGCAAATTTGCAGTTTTGTGGATCGCACGAAATAATTTGCACAGTGCATTCAACAGTACAGGTACGATTAGGTTACTACGTACACGTACCGTACAGGATTTTGAATCTTGAAAACAAAACGATTTTTCAAAACGGCTTTTCAAAATGTGAGATCGTTTGATCGTCAATCAATATGACGCTATTCATACTTGAATATTTTCTATATGAAGAAGCGTTTTACCGCTATTTTTTAAATTTAGGCACGATCGGTGCGAAAACATGCGTTGCCGACAGCATAAAAGGTAACTCTCCAAAAAATCTCCATCACACATACGGTGAAGTTACTCGTCTCAACTAAAAGCACCGTACCGGAGTACGAAAAACGTACTAAGATGCATCAGGCAAGAGCATTCTTACTGGGAGTTCAGTACCTATTACGCGCAGCACAAGGACCAGTACAAGCATCAGAGCCGCAGTATGGAACTGGTAGGACATAAATTGGCTGAAACCCAATTTTACTCTCACCTGTTATCACAATTTGACCTGTCATTTCTAGAGTACTCTCTGACCATACTATTACTATCACCATTATCACACTATGAAGTTCACTGTTGCTGCTACTCTCCTCGCCACATCTGTTACAGCCACATCTGGATCTGACCAAAGTGTTGCCAATGATGCAGCATCCGCGAGTCATCGTGGACTTGCTGTTTCTTTGGAAGATCGATTCGAGGTGACTTCTGTATTGAAAGAGCGCCGTGCATCCAAAAATAAAGGCAAGGTCATCCGCAATCTACAAAGAAAACTTCAGCAGCGGCAGCTTGGCAATGAGGTCGAGGAAGATTCACAAGTGCATGAAGAAGACCTTGATCTTGGTATATTTTCTCGTGGATTGCAAGCCAATGCTACAGAACCCGAGGAAGAGCTATCCGTGATGGAACAGCTAATCGAACTTTGTGGGGACACAGAAGAAACAGACGAAAGCTTTTCGTGCACATGTGCTGATCTTAATGTCGAAGCATACACTGCAAGTGTAACTTGTGCATACGCAGAAAATTGCCTCAGTCCCACCGAGGACATTTGTGGAGGAAATACCACTTTCTGCTTCCTAGAAACCTACAACCTCGAAGTTACGGCACCAGGAACTGGATCCTCTGCGATCTGCTACGAGCTAACTTCTCCTCTTTCGTTCAATTACTGCTACGGGCTCACATACACGGACGAGAGTACCACTCCTTCTGGTTGTGTGTTGGAGGTAGAAGGAAACCAGTGCAACTCGTGCGAATTTTACTTTTACGATTCACAACCGAACGTTACATGCAATAATTTTGATTGCAGCAACGCCGATGAAACCATTGGAAGTGGTATCATCTGCGGAGATGATACCATCGTCTCGGCGAAGATCGAGGATCACCTTACGTATGCTCCCTTGCCATGTGAAGGTGGATGCAACATTTGTCCCTCGAATGGTGAGATGTCATTGGTAGATAACAATGTAACCATGATCACAGGTGATGTCTATCAGTGTTGGCAGTTAAATCTTGCAGCACAAGCCGGATATCTCCAAGATATGCCGGGTGATTTATGCAATAGTTTGCTGGAAGTCGTGAACGAACCTTGTGGGTGCGTTGTTCCTCCTGCTACCGAAGTCCCGGAAGTTACCCCCACTTCAGACRAAGACACAAATCCCGAAGCAGCACCCACTGACGCACCTATGTCGTCAACCGAGCCCAACGAAGCTTCTGATGGCGCAACAGTAAAATCAAGATTTTCTTTTGCTGTCACTGCGTTGGCTGCAACCTTTTCATGGATGATAATTTAAGATATGAATTATCCATTCATTGCTCAATACTTCTACATTGTATTGAACTTCCGGGTCGTCTGTTTACTCAATTTCACTATCGATTTGGTCGGGCGCTGACGACAGCTCATTGACACGTCGTACCATGTTTAAAATCGTATCGTTAAACTCCAATACATAATTTATTGTTATATTTTGTACTATCCACATCCTTCACGAAAGCGTTGACAATTTCTCAACTAGTTCAATGTTGTTTTTGGCCTGAACTATTCTAGTAGCAGTACCAGCTTTCATTTATTATTAAAATTGAGAAGGTACAAGCAGAAGTGCAAGACTCCAGAAACTACCAACAGTAGTAGTAGTAGTAGTATTGGGCCTGGTGATGACACTTATCTTTGTACAGTTCCTTCTTTGCTTCTTCTTTGCTCCTGAGCATCTACAAGGACTGCAAAATGGTGATCCTTCCTTTGTGTTTGAGTCACTGGAGTAGCAGGTGTTTGTGACTGATACATATAATTTTCAAATAGAATTTTTTCAAACGCATGAAATTACACTTTGCTTCTGARCATTATCACCTAGATTTCTTACTGATTCCTAGGTAGTTCCTACTTGATCAGCACCTTCTGGCATCTGAACACCATGGTGACATCCCCTTCCAAAGGGGAAAATCCACCTCCCTGGCCTCCATTCACTTTAAACAGCATGAAGCCATCTAACCATGACTATTCCAAGTATATTGATATGCCCCAGCTGGTGGTAGGAGTTTGTCCCAGCTGGATCCATCCCCTGGTCCTCCGGAAGTACCGTATCTTCCAGTATTGAAGTTGTTGTTGTTTCATTTCTGACATTTGTGCTGGAAAGAAATAACAACAACCCCAGCCCCCAGTATTCAACCAAGACCAATCCTATGATGACCAAAGCTTGGAGTATATGCTACATCATACTCAGTTCAAAGATTCCCCAGCATCTCCATGTAGTTCCAGTATTTTACAGACCAGAAGAGTTTTCTGGTCAC